CACACATTCCGGGCTTGAGCAACACCATTTCTGTATGTTGCTTCCAAAAGGGGATGTAAGATGCCATGCATCTAACAAACACACTAATGGCAGTATCATTCTGGAACTTAGCAAAAGGACCTCATTCTCCCTGAGAAAACAAACAAATACCACACCCCACGCCTAATCTATTTATTGCTGGTTGTGAATTTCATGTCAGCTCAGATGAGTTTATTTATATAAATACAACCGTCACAAATAAGTTTACTGAATCACTAACTTGACTGAGGTAATACATTGTAAATTACTTGAAAGGATCTTGTATTTTTTCCCCTTCACTTAACCAATTTGTTCTTCTTCTCTTTTTTTTTTTTTTTTTAGGTGAAATTCTAATAACGAACTTCATTGAAGACTGTACTTTAGCCTGGTGACAAGACCAGTCTATTAATTGTTAGTCCAGGCAAGCGACATTCTGCTGAGTCATACTATTTCCTTACAACATTGCTTTGATACCTATTGCAATTAAATGAAATGCCATTAATCTCGATTTCAGTAGCTGTGTCTTAATAACGGCTTTTAGCTTTCTCAATGTCAAAATAGCGATGTTTACCACACACTTATCATCAGAGATGTGTTTACATAACACTGATAACGGAATCTAACATACTTTAACAGTTAATAGTGAGACTTCAGCTCTGCTCTAATATTTGAATCCATTTGAAAACCAGCCGTGCATTGAAGAAGCTCTCCTCTCTTCCAAAACTGACATGAGATTGTGAAAGTAGAAATACTTTTAAAATATATGCACCAAGAAGCTTTTTTGTGGAAAAGACTTTTGACTTCCCTTCTGCTGTTTAGCTCACAGAAATCTTGTACTGCATAAAAATCATATCCCTGGTTTTGAATTTATGAATGACTAAGGGGTTTCTTAGCATTTATTTTTTCCCTTTCACTTAAAAATAATTTTCAATGTTATGTCTTCTTATGGAGGTGGAACATTACTGATTGGTGGACTACATTCTTGTTTTTATCTATATACTAAAGATTGCTGGTCAACTTTTTTTGACAAGTTTTGAAAGAATTGTTAAACCATTAGGATCCCAAAGATCTGTTTTTTTTTTTTTAAGATTTATTTATTTATGTATACAGAACTGGGGTACAGGCCAGGGTGGTGAGAGGATTCACCAAAGGCCGGGGTGGTGAGAGGATTCACCAGAGACAGAGTGGGGAGCAGAACAGGCAGATCCACGAAGTACACTGCTGAGGGGGCAGCGGGCGGGCAGGAGTGCTGTGTCCTGTCATGCAGGTCAGCTCCGGGGTGGGGATGGAGCTCGTGCTGAAGTGACTTTAACTTCTTAGTGCTGTGCTTTAACCCACTGCACCACCAGCGAGGGCCCTAAAGATCCAGTTTTATATCTCATTTTTATACTTTACAATCTTGGAAAATTTTCTGAAATTCCTTAACTGCCATTTCTAGTTTATGAAATGAGAACAACATTATTTCCCCAAATAGTTACTTAGCCTGAACATTAACCTAACATATAGTAAGCACATAGCTATTATCAATCACTAGTTCAAATCAGTATCCTAAACTGAACTGCTAGTCTCTCTTCCAACTGTCCTATTGCGATTGATAACAATTCCATCCTTTCAATTGCTTAAACCCAAAATATAAGTTCAAGCCAACTTCTACTCCATTTTCTTTCACAACCCACATTCACTCTGTCAAGAAATCCTATAGACTCTCCCTTGAAAATATGTGCCAACTACCAAGCCCCTCCACACATCAATTTTGAAGCTACTGAGAAGAGTGAGAACATATAAAAATAACAACGAAAAGGTATGATGGCTGTCAAAGTAGGTTATATTTTCCAAAGACATATACAAAGATAATAGCTTCAACACTGATTGTATCTTGTGTCCCACGATAACAAGCCAAGTTTTTTGCATGGTTACTTTCTCATCTGACCTCAAAGAGGTGTAGGGTCCTCACATTTGCTGCCATAGCACACATCCTTGTCATGTGTCAAAAGACAACTGTCCATCCATGCCTCTCCTGTGAGACTGGTTCCCTGAGGAAAGGACCCAAGTTTTTCACCATTTGAGTCCTTGTTCCTGGCTCAGCATCTCAGGTGTTGGTATCAGACTGGTTCCAAATCTCAGTTCTGCTGCCCTAAGTAAGTTTCCTAAACTCTCTGTGCTTTCATTTCCTCAGTCATAAAGGGAGTAAGAATGGTATAATCACAGGATAAGAGGATTAACGAAATGACGCACCAAAATCAGGTATCACAGGGTCTGACACAAAATATAAGCAAATAAACACGGAAATTACTATTTACTCTTACCATTTGGTGATAAAGAGGAAGTTTAGTTAAATGAAAATAGTTGAATATGAGTAATTCAAGTTCACAGTCAATGTTCAGGAAGTGTATGGAGACTGCTTATTCATTCAAGCCCCAGAACATGGACTGAGAAGATGGAGTACTGTGGAATGGTGCTACCTGCTCATGCCTCCGTGGTGGTGCTAATGGGGTCACCAGGCTTCAGGGGCTTGAGACATTTTGATGGTACTGCCCAGAGGTGGATATAAGCTGCACATGTAATCAACATTTATTGTATCCTAACTATGGGGTCATGAATATATCTAGGTATGGGCATACAGGTGTGTCAAGTCACCTGTTCTGATCCCTAGAAGCTTCCTTCAGGCCCTCCCCTATCACCCTGCATTCCAATCTAGCCGTTTAAACTGATTATAGCTCTGTCAATACCATTCCTTAGTGCTGCTGTTCTCTCTCCTCCAGAAAAATCTAATTGTTACATTGCAGACTGCAGTTTCTGCTAAAAGTCTTGTGTCACATGATAATGATAATTGTAATGCATATAAACATCCCTATACAACCAGCACACCAATTTAAGATCTTAAATGCTGGCATTTTTTAATGTCCTGAATTCACAATAAATGCCTCATTTTTAAGCTACTTGCCACTTATGATGACATAAAACAAATACATTTTCATAAAACAAATACACTTTCATCTAAAAATACTATGTTAAGAATTACTTTCTTTTAAGGGGAGAATTCCTAAGATTTTCCATTGTCTATGAAATAAACCTATGAGGCCCTATAGAATTTTAAAAGGTTTGTGTGAGAGACTCTAACATGCAAACTTAATTTATTATAGAATTTGTGGACTCAATAAAAGTTTTAAGTTTAAAAATACTTAAAGAGGATTAGCAGTCAATGAAACAAATGCTTTTTGAAAGAGTGGTCTAAAGAAAATCCAAAGTGGTGTTTCAAATAGACATTTATGGCAATGAATTTTATTAATAGCTCATTCTAATTGTAATATGACAGTAATATGAATATAAAACATCTAGAATTTTTTTAAGTGAAAAAGGGCAAAAAATAGTGGGTGGTAGATAAAAAATACAAAACATTATGGATACTACATATTCAAGTATTGTGTCTAATAGGTAAGGCAACTAAATCATAAAAGAATCCCTATTACAAAGCTGTAATTCTTGAAAAATAGTAATAAAAGATGTTTGAAATCTAACACTGACTGCCCACGCTGGGGCACCTTGATTCCCTAGTCAGTTTTTCTGCTGAAAAGAAATTTTACAAGAAGGCCAGAAATTGAGTCTGTGTCTGAAGGAAAATTCTCAGGAACAAAAGACATCAAAAGAATTGATGTTTCCAATCTAACACAATCTGATATTATTTTCTCCATACTTTTTTTGTTAGTGACCGGTAATTCTAACTGCCAGTATTCCAAACTGGACAAAGTTGAAGCAATGCAGCAATTTCTCAATTGCTGTTTTAACGACAAAGATAATGCAGCCCAAATGATCTCATTTTACAGATATGTTAGCTGAGGTCCAGAGGGTTAAAACACTTTAGAAGCAAGTTAATCAAGACCATTCTTGTCTAGTCAAAGACAAATATGGAACCAGAACCCAAGTCTCCAAATAACTCAGAAAAGACAAATATTAGCAGCAGTGTGAAAATTAAGTGATGACACTGAATTTCTTGGCCCTTTCACAACTAAGTGCAGACAGGGAACACATCCGGAAGACACTGCAGAAGATTTCTTAATAGATCCTCTTTAAATTTTGCTAGCCACTATTACCTTCAGCCTACCCATGCGCAGGCCCTATAACAGAGAGTTTAGAGGAAAACTCGTCCCAGAGAGCAAGAAGTTCATGTGTCTTCCCTCTGTGACTTTCCATTACTTTATTTCTCTTTCATGTTTCACAATCAAAGTTCTTTTTGACCCTAGAAAATATAGTCAGCATTTATAGAGATACTAACAGACACCTCAGAAGGAAAAGAAGAGGTACTTTGGGTAAGGTTTTGAGTCCCCCCTGAGTGGACTCAATAAGCAAGCAAGTAAGTTCCCACCAATCCCACCAATAAGCAAACCAATAAGTTCCCACCAATCCCACCAATAAGCAAACCAATAAGTTCCCTCCATGCTGTGGAAGTGGACATTCATTCCAAGCTAAATTGAAAAACTTGAGCCTCGTGTCCAAGTGTTTCCTCTTTCTTATTATACAATGAAAGGGGCAGTTATTGGGAGGAAAGTTATTTTTAAAAAGAAGAAACAGTTGTCTTTCCTGCCTTAAGGGAAGGAAACAGATGGGCCAGACTTAAATTCTCTCACATTTCCTGCATTTAACCACAGCGCCAGAGGTCACCAGGTAGGGGTTCCTAGTCTGGCGAGGGCTCATACGGGCTCTCCTGGCCTGAGAGCAACTTTCTGGGCGGAAATCAGTCAAACTAGTAAGGCAGCACGCGGGAGAGCGAGCCTGAACCGAACGTCGGTGGGGCTGGTCTCGCGGAGATCCGGTCGGTCGCGGAGCGGACGCGGGAGACGCTCGCTGGGGGACCCGCCAGGGGGGCAGGGGGCGCGCGTTCAGCGGGCCGCGCCGGGACCCGGTCGGGCCCTGGGGCCGCGGGCTGGACAGCCTGGGGGTCTCCGCGGCTGCGCTCAGCTTGGCGGCCGGCGGCCACCGCTTACCTTGACCTCTCTGCGGGGACGCAGGCGGCCTCTGCGGGAAGGCGCTCGGCGTGGGACACCTGAGGGACGGGCGATGGGGTGCGCTCGAGCCGGGAGGAAGTGGTGTCAGCTCTGCGCTCCCCACGCAGCGGCGTGCAGACGTGGAGCTTGAGCCGCGCGGCTCTGTACGAGGGCCAGAAGCCCGCCTGGCTAGGGAGAGGCGCAGAAACAGGCATGAAGACTCCCCTAGCTCTGGGACCCCTTTCCCCCTCAGCCAGCCTGTGCCTCAATTCCCCTAGGTTCCCCTCCACCTTGCAGAAAAGGACTTGACAAAATCTGTGAAAACGTGTGCCGTCCTCTCTCATCCCTCCCTTCCCGTGTCACTTACCCCTTTCGGGAGATTCCACTTGAGGATTCCTGGTCACTGGGATATATTTGTGGCGAAGGGACTTGCGGCCAGATGATGGCTCCACAAAAGCCAGAAATCCCTATTTTGCAACAGACTTCCCAAGTGTGTGCTTCAGTCCTCTCTGTGCTTCCTCTTTCGCTGTTGCTGTTGCGTAGCCCACAGCCTGAAGGTCACAACCGGGTTGGCTGTGTTGCAGGGGAGCCCCTGGGGGGACACGGGTGGGACACGAGTAGCTCCGGAGTTAGGGGCCCTCCAAGAAGCCTGGGGTGGGGTTGGGGAAGGGCGCGACCTGGTGGGGCCATTTCACAACTATCAGATTGACACACTCTCGGAAACAGACAGGCAGTTGGAGGGTGAGGCAGCCATCTGTCACATGTTGCTGGTGGAAATACAAAATGGCATAACCCCTGTGGAAGGAAGCTAAGCAGTATCGATTTAGCTTACCTATGCACTTCCCCTTTGACCCAGAGATTCCATTTCTAAAACTGCATCATAAAGATAATAGAGAAAAAAAGAAAATGAAATGAAAAGAAGTCAGTCATATATGCAGAAGGTGGGTCTTGAGTGGAGGGTTGGTAATAGCAAAGGACTGAAGGTGACTTTAGGGAGTGCAGTTTCCTGAGAGAAAGTTGGGGGGCGGGAATTTGTGAATGGTTGAATTAATCTTCTCTTGTCCTATATAGTTGTGTTTTCAAGGGTTTATATGTGGGAATGCTGGTGGAGACAAAAAGCGATCAGTGAGACATATAGCTTTGCCAGTTTCAGATATGTCACTCTTTTATTTAAGGAGAAATGGGTAAGCTCTTACTCTTTTAAGAACAATGAAAATAGTAGTGAAGAAAACAATTCGTTGTCTCAAGAATGGCATATTCTAGTTGGGGGAAAATAAGTAATAAATGAAAGCAATATTTAACATACAAAGATTATTTTTAGGGAAATTAAAA